ACCTATTCCTCCTATGTACAAAATCAACTTTGATGGTGCTTTATCGTCTTTAGATGGGGGTTTAGGTGTTGTGATCCGTGATCACTTAGGTGCTTTTATTTACGGTAAATCCATTAAAGTTCCTAAAGCTTCTCCAGAAGAATTAGAAGCAAAAGCTATTCATGCGGCCCTTTTGTTTGCTTTAGATTTGGGGCTCTCTTCCATCATTCTTGAGGGAGATTCTAGAATTGTGAATACAAGTTTGTTGGAGTTTGGCTCTCACGCTCCTTGGCGGAGTGACATGTTGATCGCAGATTGCAGACTTTTTATTAGAAATATCTCCCACTGCTTAGTAAATTGGGTTGCTCGTTCTGGTAATGTGGCCGCTCATATGTTGGCCAAACATGCCCTAACTATTAATCGCATGCATACATGGTCTTTGTGTCCATATTTTTTACACTTTGCTATCATTCAAGATTGTAATCATGAGCAGTTGAATTAATGAATTTGGTTATGAGGCATTCCACCTTATAACATTTTGACCTTCAAAAAATAAAATAAAATAAAATAACAAGCATTGCACTTAGCTAACCCAACCCACCTAAACTTGCATCTAAAACTGCCCTTGTAAATGGGCATTTGAAAAACAGATACATTAATTTATTGGGTAAAATACAAAAACCTTCCTTGAAGTTTTTGACAATCATAAAAACCTCCCCTATAGTTTTATTTTGACAAATATCTCCCCCGAACTTTTGAGAAACTCAACAAAAACCTCCCTTCCGTCACTGGGAGACGAAAAATGTTGGATTGATGCACCAATTTTTTTAAATACCCATTCTACCCTTTTATAAAGTATTTTACATACAAAATTACTGAAATAACCCATTTTAACTCAACAAAAATCTCTTTAATTTTAACGATCATTTCAGTAATTTTACATACAAAATTACTGAAATATGTTTTTTTTAGTTAAAATGAGATTATTTCAGTAATTTTGTATGTAAAATAATTTATAAAAAGGTAGAATGGATGTTTGGAAAAAACTGGTGCACCAATCTAACGTTTTTTGTCTGAAACAGTAACAGAAGGGAGATTTTTGTTAAGTTTCTTAAAAATTCAGGGGAGGTATTTGTTAAAATGGGAGGATTGTATGATTGTCAGAAATTTCAGAGGAGGTTTTTATATTTTACTCTTGTTTGTTTCCACCTCCATCTTACACAAAAACAATCCCTATTTACTATTTAGTACCAATTTTGTCCCTGATGTGAATTCCATCCAATAAAGAATCCATGGAAACAGCTGGATTTTAACTAGGTGTTTGGAACCACTATGTTGCATGCTCCATGTAAGCGCCATGATGTGGACCATTTGACTTTTATCAAACTAACATTATACTACTTGGTTGGACAAATTCTGGTATAAACTTTTATACCATCCTTTACATTAGGTTATGAGAATGAAAGTATGGGAAGAAACTTAGAAATTATTGTCAAAAACTCAGAATGATGGATAATATTTATTTCAGTTGTCTTGTATGGTGTCTAGATGCTTATGATCGTATGTACCTAAACAAGTTATTTTCTCCTATTCAAATACAAATATCGATACTTTACACTTTGATACCAAACAACATCTAAAATCGATTTTAATTTTTCTAAAAACAGCTCAGAAGGTACTATTTGCCAGAAATACTAGACATGTTATTGATTAAGGATCTCTAGACTGATTTTTACTGAGTTGGGATCTCCTGCCAATTAAACACGGTCCAACACCCTACCAACAGGATCTAGTATCCATTATAAAAAGAGGGTCAGGTCATGTATAAGATGTGTCAGACCATGTTGGTAGGGTGTTGGATGACATTTTATTGGTAGGTGATTCATACTCGATTTTACTGTCAAGTATATGCTTTCTTCGTCTTGTCTATATTCTCATTTGGGAGGGGTGATGTGAAACGGCTTATGTCTCTATCTATGTGGTCCATATAAAAAGCCTCATAACTTGGTGAAAAATGAAAAATCTAGAGAATTAAATTGACTGTCAATCAATCAACCAGTTGAAGGGAGATTGGATTTCCTTCTAATAAAAATTTTACACATACAGCATCTAGTTGTACATCAAAAATATCTCTCACACTTTGTATATCAAAATTATAGAGAGATGGTTCCAATGTGCCACTAAATGCCCGTATGCAAAGTTTTTACTTGCACAAGATTTCATTGTATGGCCTTCAGCCTCATTGAGTGGTTTATTCAAAACAAAACTTACTTTCACCCTCACTACTCTGGAGCTCCTACCGACAACTTGTTTCCACACCTACATAACACTACTGTCGTGTAATGGGAACATCTCCCCATGAATGACAAAGGAGATATCTTAATGCTTAAGGTTGTGTTTGGAAATGGTGTAAAATGTCATTAATGTAAAAGTCCATCGATAATGTTTCATATCAAACTGTTTGAAAATGTGAACCATTGAGCATAGAAATATGTGCTTATTGATATAGTATTAAATTGACTTTATCAATGTAGTTTTTACATCGATAATTGATGTAAAACCTCATTATAAATGACATTTTTTATTGATTTATGATATAAAACTCTACTCTATCCAAATACCGACAAATCTGAACCAAAGTGAAATTTTACATCGATTTTGATTTACATTAAAAAACAAATACCAACAAAACTAAACCAATGATGAGGTTTTATACCTCTTCCAAACGAAGCCTAAGCTATAATTACTCATGGGTAGGGATTTGGGAACAATTTCTGGGTAGTAGATCCGTGCCCCACTGAATGGCTTTATACTACTGAGCCAAAACTTGGTTTTAGTTCAGCCCTTCCAAATAGACCCTTAGCTTTTGGAAATGTGACTGATCCTAATCCGAGGTCTTACCAAAAAATTAAGTGTTTCTTTAATGAGAAAATAGATTATGTAGTGAGAGTGGCAAGGTAGTATCGAAGAGTCGAATTCTGTGGACCCTTGGGTTCATGGGAAACATGCACCTGCGAATGAAAAATGAGGTGAAGCTAACAAGAATTTAATGGAATTGCTCTGGTCCAATCAGCCACTAAAAGACAAAAAAGTGAAAAACGACAACCTCCTCCATTCGAATTCCCCTCTCAGAGACCGATGATCGGTGACCGGCGGTAAAATCATCATCTTCTTCTTCTCTTCCTATCAAATATGGAATGGAAGTGCAGGATATGTAGAAAAAGAAAAATCGGAAAACAATGAAGAAGAAGGCCAAAATCAATTGGAACACTCACTCTTGCATTGCCACCGACATATTAGTTGATTACATGCATCGTGAGATCAATGTTTTTTGCTCTAGTATTCAGACTTTCAAGTAACATTTTGCTACCAACTTATGTGTGTCGGGATCAGATTGACTACAATTCAAACTTCATGTAATTGTGCTACAACCAATTGCTTCTTCGATTATTCAGTCCATAGTTTCAAGTTTTTAAATGCTCTTGGTAAATCTACATATACTTAGTGAGGATTGTGGAATTCTTTAAAACTACTAGAAATTAGGTTTAACTATGTAGTTTTGATTGCCCTATTTTTTTATTTGTAGCTATTCAGGGAATAGGAGAAAGCAAGAAATGAAGGTTATGACCAACAACTGATTTTTTTTAACTATCCCTGGATGGATTTTCTCTCCTAATACCTCAAGTAGCAATTCGGCTTTATTCATGCTTTCCTTTTCTCCCCCTCAAATGTCAGATCTCAGCCTACTTTGATGATCTTGATTTTGAAGGTTAGGCTTACTTTCCTCTAACAGCAACTGGTAGTCTGGTAGTGGTTGACTCCTTTCCGTCGGATCAGATAGAGGGTGTTGGGGTTCTGGGTCATGGCTTTAAGATTTCAGAGGATTTTTGTTGATAAAAATGAGAAGAAGAATAAAAAAAAAAGAGAGGAAAAAGAAGGTGGAGGAGAAAGAGAAGAAGAATTTATTGTGTCGTCGGTTGATGCCTCACGCTAAACATCGATTACTGTGGTGGCTGGTGGTCTAGTTATAGTATGTTGAGACTTGAGAGACAATGAGAGGGGAATTCGAATGAGAGAGGGAAGTATTATTGGGTTTTATTGTTTTTGTCTTTTAGTAACCGGTTCAACCAGTTAGACCATTATTAACCAAGCAACCCTGTTAAACTCTTGTTAATTTACTAAGACGACCTGTTCATTTTTCATTTGGCAGGTACACGCTTCCTGTGAACCGAAGGGTCTACAGGGTACGCGCTCAGAATTGAAGTGACCAAGCAGATATAGGATTCATCCACGTGGCATATCAGATGACCACGTGGAAGCTCGTTAGATCTCCCACTTGGCAACCTGCAGGTAAGTTGAAAGGTCAATACGTGTTGCCGTGTCACCCACATAAATGGGCTAGCCCAGCAAATGAACTAAAAGTTCGCTAGGCCCTAGAAATCCAGTCGAAGGACCCCACATGTTTGCCACGTCATTCAGGTACGTGCTAGGGCACATGGGTAATATAGTTAGTTAGCTGCGGTTAAGTCGGTCCCGAGAAAAAGGCGGAGAGACCTAGCAATCCGATCTGTTGGGGTTCGGGTAGGGTCAAGTTTTGGGTCGAGTCGGCAAAGGCATCCTAATAAATATTTAGGTTAGGGTTGACCGTGGATCATACGGATTAATGGTTCAACCACCCGAATCAATGGCTTTTATCAGAACACAGGTTTAACCATCTGGTCCGAATGGTTTAAACAGTTCAACAGTCTGGGTCAACACCAGTTTCAACTTTGAAAGAGTTGGTTCGAAAACGGATGACCCGGATGGACTTTGATCCGGTCCAAAATCTTTGTAGTTCGGGTCGTCCATGCCGCTTCTGGTTTGGCTAGCTAGAAAGACGGCCCGACCCACCTTTCCGGGTCTGTTTACCGGGTTGGGTCGACTTTTTGACAGGTCGGGAGGAGTACTTTTTATCTGCAAACCCCATTTGTTTGAACAGAAGTGAGAGAAAGAGAGAGGTGTCGGAACTTAGAAGCGGACGATTCTCATTAGGCTAGGTTTTGGATAAGCACAAAATCGTTTCCGACGGTAAAACGGTTACTTGCCTTTTCTCCTTTCGTCTATATAAACACCATATCTCAGTTTCTGGATCTCATCATTTTCTCCTCGCTTCTGAGTTGCTTTTCTGGTTTCTTTCCTTCTCGGACTGCAGCAGTAATGGATGTTCTTCATTTCGTATTTGGGATCTTTGGTGGGTTCCTGTTTCTTCCATCTGGGTTTCTGTTTTTCCTATATAGCTTCCCGTTTTGTCACTGATGGGTTCCTTCTCTTTTCTGCTGCTGTTTCTGTAACAGGGAATGCCACTGGTTTGTTTCTATTCCTCGCTCCAACGTAAGCTTCTTCCCTCTTTCAGTATCTGTGCTTTCGTTTTACTAGATAAATGGGTTTTCTTCCCTCCTACCCAGTAGGAAAATTCATGAAGAACCCATATTCAGATCTCTGTTTCTTCTTTCTTGAAACTCCATCGCCATTGCTATTCATCCCAGTTTCTTCAATCGTCCTTCATAGATCCATTGCTCCAAAAAAGTCCAGTTGCAGAATCTCATCATCTCACTCTGGTTATTGTGTTGTGCTCGCAGAATAACATTCTATCGGATCATGAAGAACAGATCTACTGAGCAGTTCTCAGGTATCCCGTACGTCATGACCCTGCTGAATTGTCTGCTCTCCGCATGGTACGCTTTCGTTTCTTCTCCCTTACTTTTCTTCCTCCCTTTTGATATCTTATTAACATTATCTCATAATGGTTAACGAAGGATAATAGGGGTATTACTGTCATTGAATTTTAATACAAGACTGGAAGAGTTGAGCCGATAGTCACCAATCAGTCTTAATACTGTTTACATGCAATTACGGATTCAGACCGTCCGATCCACTCTGTTCATCCCGCATCGTCCGATCTAATACTCTCCTGAAATTCGTCTATTGTTGGGGCAGGTACGGGCTTCCGTTCGTCTCCCCACACAACATCCTGGTCAGCGTAATCAACGGTACAGGGGCTGCAATCGAGTCAGTTTACGTGCTTATCTTCCTGATATTCGCGCCGAAGAAGGAGAAGGCGAGGGTAGCGGCACTCCTCTCTTTCGTTCTCGCCGTCTTCTCGGCCGTCGTCGTGGTCTCTCTCTGTGCCCTCCACGGCAACACCAGGAAGATCTTCTGTGGCTTCGCTGCCACCATCTTCTCCATTATAATGTACGCCTCACCTCTATCAATCATGGTAAGCTTCAAATCCCTTTCTCCATTCTCTTTTCGGTTCCCACTTGCACCAGATTTGGATTCTCATCCGACGAGGCTGCGGAAATTGTGCAGCGAATAGTGATCAAGACGAAAAGCGTGGAGTTCATGCCGTTCTTCTTGTCGCTTTTCGTGTTCCTGTGCGGGACGTCGTGGTTCATCTACGGCCTGCTCGGTCGAGACCCGTTCATCGCCGTAAGTCGTAATATGATCTCTTTACCAGGGAGATTTATGTGATTAAGCTTCTTCTATTAAATGACAACATTGCCCTTGTCGGTTGGATTTGTAACGGAGAGGTGATATTATGGTGTGGCAGGTGCCTAACGGGTTTGGGTGTGGACTGGGAACGTTGCAGCTGATACTTTATGCGATTTACCGGAAGAATAAAGGTGGGGCCGAGGAAGAGGCCCAGAAAAGCGTCGATGATTCAATTGAGATGGGCTTGGGTAAGCCCCAAGGCCCACAATCACAACAATAACAACTGTAGCAGAAGCAACGGCCGAACGACAAGCCCTGATGTCGGTTCTTGATTGAGTTTCATATTCATGCATAATGCATTCCTTCGCTTCAAGCTGATTGGTGGGACCGAAGGTGGCACTGTACCAATTGGCTTGATGGTGAGATCTCTGGATGATTGTAGCGGAGACGTGGGACTCAATCCCTCCTTCACGAATCACGAGGATTTGGGGAGGGTTACCCACTTTTGTTATTTGTTAAGACTGAAATTCTGAAAATATTAGTAGTGGGCCCATTTTTTGTTGTGGGTTCCGATCCTCCAAATACAAGACATGTGGCAAGCTGTGGGGGCCCCGGACAGATTTACAGGCTTTGTATTGTATTTCTGTATTGTAACGGCGTAGTGGATTCTTCCCATTAGATCCCATCTCTCTTGAGATGGGCTGGGCTTGAACTCTCTTGAATTTGAAGTCTTCAATTTGAAGAAGTGTTCTATTATTTCTTAAATGATTGATCCCTTCACTCAACGTACAACTGGGGAAAAGGCTAATTTATTGAATCATGGAGGATGGATCCTCATTTTGTCTGCAAGTGTAAGGATATTATCATTCTTCTCTACACCTAGTCGATTTGATTGATTGAGCTATCTAATTTGGGTCATTATTAAAACCCGCCTGATATGCTCACAAGCAAATACTGACTGTTCCAACAGGTTCCGACTCTAGGGGTAAGAAATATTATTTCACATTTTAGTAGGGGCAAAAATATTATATACATTATTAATATTTTTTATTAAATTGGTTGAATAAATGTAAAGGTCAAAACTTATATCTAAGAGAAGGTTGATCCATTGCATTGGACGGTTCAGATATAGGGGTGCAACTCGGATTGAACAAGTTGTCGTTAGTGGATTTCATTCTGTAATTTTATCTTCTATTATTGCCGATTCCATGACCTTAGATTTCCAATAGGAGATAGTAGATTAATCATTTGGGTCATTATCAAACGGTTGGAGACGTTGGAGACTAATGGAGAGACGATGTTATGGTGTGCGTGGCTAGTTGCCTAAAGGGTTTATGCGATCTACCGAAGGAAGATAGATAGGGTCGAGTCAGAGGCCCAACAAGGGTTTTTTGATGATTCAATTGAGACAGGCTTCAGAAAGCCCCAAGGCCCAATCCCGCGGGTTTTGATCCGGAATTTCGGTTCTATATTAAGTTTCCTATTCATGCTTTCACTTCAGCTTTATCGGTGGGATCAAAGATGCCAATTAGCTTGATGATGAAATCTCTGGCTCATTGTTATTTGTTGCGGTGACGTGGGACCCAATCCCGCCTTCACGCACGAAGGTGTGGGCTGGGCTTGAACTCTCTTAATTTGAAGAAGTGTTCAATTATTTCTTGATCTGATTTCTCTTTTCACTTAACATACAGCTGGGCGAATGGTTAAATTCATCGTTTTTAAAACCGAACCGGTCAGGGGTCCTGTTACCGGTTCGAACGGTTTGACTGTTCAACCCGAATGGCCAGTCCGTGACAGAAAAGTTAAAAAATTTGAAAAATGGTCAAAATCATGGTTTTCAAAACTAGACTGGACCTGACTGGTTCCGTTTTTCCCCTAACCCGCTTTTTCCCCCAAAACTGATGATTTTGGTCAGCAAACCACCAAACCGGTTGGTTAACCATTCGAACGGTTTTGACCGTTTTTAAAATTTTTTATTTTTTTGTCAAAATGGGCCGGTCGTTCGGGTCAAACAGTCAGACTATTCGAACTAGTAACCGGACCCTTGACCGATTCGATTTTAAAAACCATGGTCAAAACCGTTCAAACGGTTAACCAGCCAGTTCAACGGTTTGTTGACCAAAATCAGCGGTTTTGGGGGAAAAACAAAACCAGTTAAGTGACCGATTCCCAGTTTTTCCGGTCCGACTATCCATTCTGATCCGGTTTTGAAAACCATGGCTAAATTATTTGATCAATAATGTTATCATCAAAATCCAAACCCATGAATCAAAGAACATTGAATCACCAATGATGGATGATCCCTTTGTCGTGCAAGGATATTATCATCATTCTATACACTCATTCGATTGATTCAGCTTTTTAATGGGAAAATCTATGATTTAGAAAAGATATCATATGGAAATTAATTCAATGCATTAAATTCTCTTTCATTAAATTCAACATTTAAGTTATTAACTTGCATGCATGTTCATTGAATCATATGTTTAAGCTATTTTTGTTTCTTCTCGTTACTGAGATTCATTAATTAATTCCATACTTAATAAATTAATAATTCAAATTACATAAAAGCTTATATTTTTAAAGTCCATCCAGCAAAAGTAGTGTTTTCATCTAGGTGATGGTAAGAAATTAAATCATTTTGGGCCAAATGGATCAACCCATGTTGCCACAATTAGATAATAAAATTCAAAAATAAATAAAATAAAAAATAGAAATTAAAAAAAAGTGAACATTTTTAACATACACATTAAACAATAATATGTATTATAAATAAGACATGTTTTTATTAATGACGGAAATGGAATGTAAAATTTAAAACTAATTAGAAATAAAAATATTTTCCTATTCTCCTCATTAAATCTTATATTTAAGATATACTTTTCTCATCACTAAATTCTTGTAATTAAATCCACAATATCAATTTTAATAGTATAAAAATAAATATTTTGAAAAGTGATTGGAAAACAAAACCATTTTCTTCCTTCCCGGTGGTGGGCAAGCAATTCGACCATTTGGGCTCGAATGGATTAATAAATAATGTCATAATTAAATAATAAAAATTAAAATAAATAACTATAAAATATAAGAAGTATTTTTGTTAATGATAAAAATGGAATGCCAAATTTAAAATCTACCTATAAATGAAATAATGTCATAGTAAAATAATAAAATTTTTAATAAGAGAAAATACAAAGAATCACAAAAAAAGATAAAGAAAATTTTGGACACATATCCATGTTATATATTTATAAAAAATAAAATATTGGGTATATCTCTAATATTATGCATTCATTATATTGAACAAAAATAAGTTATACATAAGAAATACTTTTATCAATGATGGAAATATAATACAAAATTTAATGTCAACCTAGATATACTACTTTAAAAAGCACGAATGGCCTCAAAAAGATTTCTGGAATTTTCTAAGGACAAAATTTACCCATCTATATTTAAATTTATTAATAAAAAATGAGGGCAAATAGGGTAATTGGTTTTTTATATTAAATGAGTTTAAAATAGGTAATTTTAAGATATTCAATTCGCTCTCATTAAATCCAACATTTAAGTTATTAACTTGCATTCATGTTCATTGAATCATATATTTAAGTCATTTTTGTTTATTCTCATTATCCAATTCCATTAATTAAATTCATACTTAATAAATTAATAATTCTAATTATGTAAAAGCATATACTTTTAAAGTCCATCTAGCAAAAATAATGTTTTCATCTAGGTGGTGGTAAGAAATTAAATCATTTTGGGCCAAATGGGTCAGTCCATGTTGCGACGATTAAATAATAAAAATAAAAAATAAATAAAATAAGAAATAGAAATTAAAAAAAGCGGGAACATTTTTAACATACACAATAAACAATAATATGTATGATAAATAAGAAATGTTTTTATTAATGATCGAAATGGTATGTAAAATTTAAAACCAATTAGAAATAAAAATATTTTCCTATTCTTCTTATTAAGTCCTATATTTAAGATATATTTTTCTCATCACTAAATTCTTGTAATTAAATCCACAATATTAATTTTAATAGTATAAAAATAAATATTTTGAAAAGTAATTTCAAAACAAAACCATTTTCTTCCTTCCTGGTGGTGGGCAAGCAATTCGACCATTTGGGCTCAAATTGATTAATAAATAATGTCATAATTAAATAATAAAAAATTAAAATAAATAACTATGAAATGTAAGAAGTATTTTTGTTAATGATGAAATTGGAATGCCAAATTTAAAATCTACCTAGAAATGAAATGATGTCATAGTTACCTATAAAAGTGTGAATAAGGTATTGGCTTTTAGAATTTTTCTTTACTAAAATACCCCTTCTCTTGAATTTGGTTCTCTTCAATTGTAAGGGCAGAAAATGTAATTAAAATAATACTATTAAATACATTCAATTACCTCTCATTAAGTCTCACATTTAAGTCATTAAATAAATCACATCCTCTCTCATTGAATCCAACATTAATACTTTTATTTCTCACTATTAAATTCTACTAATAAATATATACACAATAATTATTAATACAATGAAATTTGATATTTTTAAAATAAACCTAAAAATGAAATCATATTTTTCCATCTAGTTGGTGGGTAAGTAGTTCAACCATTTGGGTCAAATGGATAATTTCATGATATCATAAATAAATACTAAAAATTTAGAAATACAAAAATATAGAAAACAAAGAAATTTTGAAAAAAATTGGACACAATTATATTATTATATATTTGTCATATTAAATAAAATAAGTATGAAAGGATAGACGTAATTTTACTAATGATTAACACTAAATATACTACTTAAAACCAATAGGAAATGAAACAATTTTCCTATCTAGGGGTGGGTTAGTGATTCAACATTTCATGTCAAATGGGTTAACACATGATGTATAATTAAAAATAAAATTTTTAAAATAGAATAATACAGAAAATGCAAAACAATTTTGGGCACATCTATTATAGGGGTGAGCATAATTCAGTTAAAACCAAACTAAAAATTTTGGTTTATTTTTTTAGGGTTTTGGTTAATTTGGTTTTTGGAATTAGAAATTCGGTTAACCAAATAAACTAAACTTTTGTATATCATATGCAATATATAATATATAATATTATTTATATATTAATATATAATATTATTTATATATTAATATATAATATAATGAAACTTGCTTTCATAGCATATATTATATATTATATAATGTCTATAATATAGTATATACATTATTCAAATTTTGTTTTAATCGAAATAACTAAATGCCAAATAAAAAATTTTGGTTTTTCAATTATTCGGTTTCGATTTGGTTTTTATTTTCTATTTTGTTTTAAAAAATTTCAATTTATTTGGTTTGGTTTTTAACCTAATAGACCGAATGCTCACCCCCACATCTATAATATTATATCTTAATCATATAAACAAAAAATAAGTATTACAAATAATAATTATTTTATTAGTGATATAAATTATATGCAAATTTTAAAACCAGCTTGAAAATGAAACCATTTTCATATCTAGATGGTAGGTCAATGATCTAACTTTCCAAGTAAAATGGGTTAATCTATGATGTCATAACTAAGTAATAAATATTAAAAAATATATAAAATCTCAAAGAAAAATATAAGCATTGTATATTGATACAATTCTAATGTTATATATTCATAATATTAAATATGAAAATAAGAATTACTTTTATTAATGATGAAAATGGAATACAAGATTTAAGTAGAAAATGCAATTAAAATAATA